TGCCAGGAGGAGCCCGTGGGCCAGGCCGGGAGCAGGGGGGCTGCCCTGGCACCGGGGGACGGCAGCCCCCGGCTCCTTCCCACAGCCGGAACGAGACCGAGACCGCTGTAGAAAACCAGGGGTAGCGAACGCTGAAGAGATGACTGTCTTCTCAAAGCGCTCTGAAATGGGGCTGCGTTGCCACCTGCCCACCCCCCTTCGAGCAATTACACAAGGAAAATTTAACCTAAAACTCCTTTTTAAATTGGTTACAGGTTGCGCGGAGAACTCGCACCACACCGTAACCCTGCGTGGGTATGTAATTTCCCTGCAGACTGGGGGCTCAGGGGCTGCAGAGAGAAACCCCCCCTCCAGCACCGGCCCTGCCCCAGGGACAGGATGGGGAATAGGAAGAGCCAGCAATGGATGCGGTGGCAGCAGTCCTCAGCCCGAGATGAATGCAGTATCCCGAGACCCCACGTCGCTGCTTGCTGGAGCTCACAGTTAGATGTAGCCAGTTTCGTGCTGTTTCGTGGAAGAAAACCCAGCCTTTCGGGTTCTAGCCCAGCAGTCTTTATTAGGAGCGAAGTACAGATAACTAGATACAGCAAGGCTAGAAAATGCTGCTTGAAGAGCCCGGAAGAGTGTAAGCTCCCTTTGCTACTCTTATTATTTGTGATCAAGAACCAAATGAAAAAGCCATTAGCCCAGCATTGAAACCAAGCGTGGTCCTGCTTTGCACAGGAGATGGGCAGCCATCCTCACAGCTGCAAATGATAATTTACAGATTCTACCTCTGAGAGTATATCCCCAACTTTTAGATTTATTAACAGACTTGAAATGTAGGTTTTAAAAACAGGGAACTTAGCATACCATGGGGCTCCGTGCTCTTCACAACAGTCATGGCAAATTATCAAACTCTCTGTTACACAGCCTCCCTTCAGAGATACATCCTCAAACTGATGCATTTGGCTCAAATGTCCCACTCTTTGTATGAAATAGTTCCGAACACTGCAACTTTTCATGGTGATTCAGCCCAAAGGTAATTAGTGGAGATGTATATGCTTGGAAAACTCCGTTTTCCCTCACTTTTGGTCTTTCAGTGCTTGCAGGTCATGTGAGGTCTTGTAAATAGAGGCTTGGCTCAAGACCTGCTGGCACAGGTTTGTTTCACACAGTCTGTGCTTATTTTATCTGTGTGTAATTTTTTTATATCTTTGTTTATGTGAAAGAGTCAGCCCCAGAGAACAAGTTTTCCTGACCTTCCGACTGCGCAATCGCACCTTTTCCTGCTTCTTCCTGTTTCATAAGAAAGTCGGCCGCTTGCTTATGCCAGCTTACACGCTTGTATCGCATCCCCACTTCAGGGGTTTAAGACGCATTTTATAAATGCAAGTAATTTAAGTTTTCTCATCCCTGGAGTGAGCTATCCCTCATCTTCTTGACAGGTAGTAAAGCAAGAGGCACAGAGGGACAGGCAGCGTGCTTGGTGCCACACAGCAAGTCAGAAAGAGCACACAGGAGAATTCTTTGCAAGTGCTGCAGCTGTAAAAAGGGTTCTTCATCCATTTGAAAAATGCATGAACCCACCTGAGATTGTCATCTTAGATACTTCAGCAGACCTAGGAGGGAAGCCACTCCTGTCTCAGGCATGGAGTCACTATTTATTCAGTGGTGTGACCAGAACCAATTTATTTGCAGCATATTTAAAAAGCAGGGAAAATACTTTTAAAAAAGCCCCTTACGGAAAAGGCTGCTGGCTGGAGGCATTTGTTCCAAAAAGAAAAACACATTCCCGAGGTTTACCTCCAGGCTAGCTCTTATCAGGGTCTTCACCTATCACCACGCTGCTTCTCCCGGCTGCAGTCAGATCTGAAATGCTCTGTAGGTGGAAAAGAGCTTAGAGCAATCGCTAGCTGCTCTCACAGCCAAACATCTGCTCACCCAAACAGCATTCCAGGCGTGCGTTACACCTCCCACCTTCACAGCAATACACAGGGACAGCGGGGAAGAAACTATTTCTCAGGCATTTACATTTGGTTTTAATAGTCAGGGAGCCTTTTGGATGCATGGGTGGTATCCACACTTTTGCCCCAGGAAAAAAGGCAGCTCGGGCTCCATGCTGACATTTTCTGGGAGAAGACTGTGGGGAAAATGAGGTTTTTCCTCTTCTCCTGGACTCTGTTAACATCCTGTTTGTCTTAAACTGAAGTTAACAGCTAGACCGCACAGTAGAGGGGAAAGACTTGCAGTATGGATATGGAAAGAGTAATCTACAAGGTATAAGGTCCCTCTCCCCCTGCTAGCCTTCCCTCTGCTTTTCAGCATCGCAACACAGAAGCTAAATTACATTTTAAGGCACACTCAACCGACTTCCAGCAGTCTCAAAATTGCGATCCCTTGGGGTCATAAGAGAGTCCTGCTCTCCCAGCGACTTCTATTTAGTCTTCGGCTGGTTCCCCAAGCGGGCGACTGACTGCTGCTTTTGCCGACTGCTGGCACCATCTGCAGGCCCTGCAAGTGAGGGAGGATGAAGTATTTGGTCAAGTTTCTCATGCTTCAATTTGAGTCTCATTGCCAGTCTAAGTGGGGAAGAGACAGACTGCCACAGGCTGTGGAGGGGAGAGTTTGGCAAAGGTCCTAGGATCTGCACATCGTTACCTTAAGAAAATCCCAAAGTGACACTTTTCAGTAGAAGCAGTATGTTATCAGATGGCTAACTCAGATTAAACTTTGTACTTTACATATGGATTAGACTAGGATTATGAACACCTCTGAAAACGTTATTTTCTCTTCCTAAGAGGTTATTTTTGGCTAAGAGGGAGATGGAGTGTAACTCATTCTGGAACATTGCCCGTGTCATCTGTTGGGGAAAAAAAAAAGAAAAAAAAAGGCTTAAAACTTGGCTGTAAAACCCCTACCCACGTGACTGCTTTCCCAGCTGGACTGTTTGTGTTGCATTTACAGTTCTTTAGGTTCAGACTGCAACAGAGCAAGTGCTGAAGAATATAGTAGTGCCTCCTGAGCCAGCCAACCTGATATTTCATGTACTCACCCTCGGCTTGCTTTTCTGTAGGACCTGTCCTTTGACGCAATCAGCATTGCTCTGCTGGATGGTGCTTGCAGGAACATTGTCTTTTGGCAGCACCTCTAGTGGAGTCCCCGCTATCAAAGGCAGGGAGAGCTTCATTATAAACAGTGGGAGCAGAGCTCAGTTTAAAAACATTTTGCAATGCAATAGCTAGCCAAAATAAATTATAGCATTGTAAATCAAAAGTTAACTGGTTTTTAGTAAAAAAATAAGTAAGAAAAACTAATTAGCATCAGTAAGCACCCCTTGCCAGAATGGGGAAGGATTCTAGCTACATTTCAATAGGATTTGGGTATCCAGTTCCCCTAAACTCATCCTGGCCTTGTGTGTCTGCACAAAGCAAAACAACTGAAGCTGACAGATGGTCAGTGCAGCCTGTCATGTCTTGGTCTCCTTGCTGAGGCTCGGTTTGGATGTGAAACTCTGTCAATGACTAGACTGAGATCAGCAACTTGTTGCATGTGAATCCAGCTGAACACTAATTCTTCCCCCTAGGTTACAGAGGCATAGCTGAGGCAGTTGTCTACAAAGGATGTGCTTTCTTACCCATCAAAAGCTACTTAGACCATATAAAAAAAAAAAAAAAAGATCCGATTACTCATAGTTCTGATCATTAGCCTTTAGTCTGGCTTATTTCTCACGTGACAATCCATCTTTTCCAACAGAGCTGATGCAGGATGTCACCAGTGGCTCTTTGGCCCCTACCTGAATGGTGGCCGATAGGAACCTTGACCTTTGTGGCAATGGATAGGCTACTCGCAGCTTTTGACTGATGGAAGAGTCTAGCTCGGCGCAGGTGGTTCTCACAAGCTTTGTCTGTATTGGGGCTTGAGGGAGTCCAATGCTTAGCTTTCGAGATCTGAAAGACACCAAGTTGAGTTAACCTCAGTGGTGATGTCTCTCACCTCTGAGTGTTGCCACGTTGTACCAAAAAAATTCCCTTCCCACCTGACTGGCTTAGTTTGCTGTTTAGGCAGGAGGTCAAGGGCATTATAGAAGAATAAAGATATTTAACTTGTTTTCTAATGCAGTTTATACTATGTTTCTCTCTTACTGTATTTAAAAACCACCCTAGCTCCACTGGGTCTATGCCTTCTGCTCAACCATCCCCTTTAGAACGAAACAAAGGTCCTACCCTGTTGAAGTTTGGTTCGAGAGTGCGAGATCTTTTCTTTCTGGCTGTCCGCTCAGCAGACAGCTCCTGGTCTCTCCTGTTCTTCAGCACTCCCCTGGCTGGGGAGCGCAGCTGGCTGCCAGCTGCGGGCTCCAACTGCAAACCCCCAATATGTGCACTGTCTCTTGTCTGACAATCTGGGGTGGAATTGGCCTCCAGATACTTCAGCTCAAGCACATCCTCCTCAGAGAAGTGGGCTGAGGAGACTTTGCTCCCAGGGTCTCTGTGTTGGGCTCTGGAACGGCGACTGGCTGCAATGAGGGAGATGCTTTTGGTGTTGGCAGCAATTTCCTCCAAGGTCTCCAGACTCAGTGGAACAGCAGCAATGTCTGCAGTTGACTTTTTCCCATGCAAGTCTAGAGGGGTGGGGGAACGCAGCTTGGGAGTCATCTTTCCTGCAGCAACACCTGCTAGTTTCTGCTAAAAATCAAAGCAATTGCCGCATAATTTGCTTTTCATTCAAAGCTTTTATACTTTTCCCCTTCAAAGCACTTTCAAACATGTGGAAGACATTAAATTTCACCTGAAATATTACTGTAACAACTTCTATGTACAGAGAAACAAAGGCAAAGCTTTTTGACTGTGTATCTCCCATATAGAGCCTTGGCTACAAAATGAGTCAGCCGGCAAGCAAGAAACTAATGAGCTCCTAACTCTCCCTCCTGTTCCAGGGTGCCGAGTGAAATCAGTTTCACCAGAGTCATCAAACCAGGGCCCAGCAGATCAGTTAATGGCATAAAAGGTGACCATCCTGGACAACACAGGTCCCCTCACAGCAGATTGCATGGTGCATCTCTATTTACAACTCCCGTCACTCCACTGGACACATTGGAGACACTGTGATTCACACAGAGGGAGAGCCCAGATTGGAGGTGGCAGCTAAGCCTTGGCCTCTTAAGTAAACCCCAGGCCAGTGCTCTAGGAGTGATTTTATTGCCTGCCAAGGTTTACCTTCCTCACATACAATAGATTTAGCTGCTGTGCATGTCTGTCATCGCAAGAGGAAGGTGCTATCCACAGCAAATGCACCTTGAAATCAGTTCCTGCCATACTGACCTGCTGAACTGGGCTTTTTGACAAACCAGAGAAAGTTGGGCTGAGATGGGTATCCAGAGACCCCTCCTTCCTACACGGTGTTGTTTTAGATGATCTGCAACTGCCACTGTGAAAAGAATATGTCAAGAGGTTAACAGATGAAAGCACAGGCCTTTTATCAACAAGGAGAGAGAAAACATGTCTAGATGAGAACTCTCAAGCTGTGGGGAAAGCCAGAAGCCTGGTAAATGTGGTAATAAAGAACACAACAAGGGAGGACTTCAGGATTCATGAAGGAGAGAGATTTTTGTCCTGATCCTCACAAACTTTGCTACTTTATTTGGTTTAAATGCTTGCCAGTCAACCGAAGCAAATCCAAACATTTCCCATAGCCCTCTCTGCAGAGAAGGTTCCTGCTAAAACACAGAGCTACTTTGCAAGAGCAGTATACCAGGAAACTCTTTTCTAACAGATTCCAGTTTCTAGAGGTTCTTCCAGTTTGATATCTCCCAGCTTTGGGGACTTAGCTGGGAGCTGCCAGGTCCCCATGCCCTAGAGAATAAGTCTAATAATGAGAAAGATTCACATTACCTGTCTGACTCAAGGGCGATGGAGGGAATGTCAAACTTCACCCCCCAGGGAATATCCTTCATGTTCGCAGGTAGACCCTTTCTGATCTCTTCTTTATTAGGATCCAGATGCTGACTGACATCCAGAGAAGGGCTGTTGTGGGGCTGCAGGAAGAGCGAAGAATGAGATCCTCAGCAGATTTTTCTCACTGTAAAGCCCCTCCTCTAGCCCTGGCTCCCAGCCTGCGGTCACAAAGACACTCTTGACACCTCATGTGCTTTTCCATAGTTCCAGCCACCTGCTATTTGCTCCCCTCCTGTGGCAGGGCACCCAAAGTAGTTTAATCTCTTATATAACAACATGACTAGCATTAAGTTTATTATTCAAGGTGAAACCCAACTCCTTGCCCTGTTCATTCTAGGCAATCAAAATAAACAGGAGACCCTGCTGCTTGGACTCCCTGCTGAAGACTGGCAATTTCCTGGCAACCCCTTACTGTCTCAAAACACACACAAGTTTTCCAAAGACAAAGGGGCCAGCAGCATCTTTCCTATCTGGCAGGAAAGACCTGAGGACCTCAATAACAACTGTGCCATGAGTGAGCAGAGGCCTCCAGATAAGATCGTCTCCTTCAGCAGTCACTTGGAGAGTTGCATGTTTGGCCATCTAACCTTTGCTTTTCTGTTTGCCACCAAGCCAGTTATCTCTCTCAAACCTGACGCAACAGCAACTGGGAAGATGAACATGCTGGCTCATGCACAGCACTGCCTGGGTCCTTTTCTGTCGCCAAAAGCCTTATTAATTCTCCGAGTCAAAGGGAAGGAGGGAAGGAGAGCAGAGCTCCAGAGACAACATGTTCATAAAACAAAGCTCTGTACCGCTCCTGACTGGCACCAGGACCCAGCCAGGCTTTGGGTGTGTGTGAATCTATGGCCATGACACAAGATCATGGGACAGCGTGGATTCTCCGGCACAAGGGTCTGCTCTGCCTTACCCTGAGCCTGCTGGACATCACTGAATGTAGCAGAGGCAGGCAGTTCAGCATCCCCTCCTCCAACTCAGAGAGGTGCAGGTGGTGTAACCTCTCCAGTGTCTCTGGGATAGGAATGTTCTGGGCTGGAGCAGAGATGGGGAGGAAGAGTTAAAGATCACTCCTAGAGAAACAGCTGAGAACTGTGGAGTCATGACATCCAAGACAAGGTTTTCTGGGTGGATTGTTCTGCAGTTTGCCATCAGAAAACAAAGTTTGGAGATAATGACAGAGCAGCAGCAAAGGTACTGCTTTACCTTTTATCAGCATCTGCTGCCGCTGAATAATTTCTTCGCAGAGTAGCATGTTGCTGGATCACAAAATCCTTCTGGCACAATAGATTCTCCTTGTACAGTGTATTTGCCTGCAGCTCTGTGTTGCCAAGCTCAAGCTCAAGCTCATGGGCTATGCAGGGGAGCCTTAGCACCTCCTGCTGATCCTCACTGGTGATTTGTCTGGGGAAAAACTCCTCCATCTGGGAAGCTTTTTCTTTGGCATTTGCTAAGTGCTGCTCCAGCTCTGTCTGAAAAAGATAGATAGGGGTTTGTCAAGGCAGCTCAGCTTTTTGGGATGACAAAGGCATCTGAGCAATTCTTTGCTGCGTCCTTCACGCTGAGATTAAAGTAACATCTACAAAAAGTGTTTTGCTTATTCTACTAGCAGCCACCATGTTTCAGTCATAGCAGATATATCCATACACACAGTCCTTGCCTAGAGGAACTCACAAATGTTAACGTTAGCTACCAAAAAAATAATCACCAAAAGTGATTACCAAAACATTCAACAACCAGTGAGTGACAAACCCTCAAAATGTCCCTGAAAGGGGAAATGGGAAGAATTACATCACTTACGGGTACGCAAGCCCAGTGGGTGCTTTTCCCTCATCCTAAAAAAGACAGGGACAGAGGCAGGATGCAAACATCAATGTTCCCATGCTCCTTCCTTCAGCAGCCAAAAGTATTTAGAAGTCCAGCTGCAATACAGGTGCCGCACTGCTTTTGCGGTGCTAGCCCAAACCCACAAGAACCTCTCTGAGTTACGCTGCTGCCATCCTGCCCCCAAGTACCTGCTGGGCAGAGGTCAGACTTGCGACTGTAAGGGCACCTTCACCTCCTCACCTTCAGGGCTGCCGTCTTACGCTGTTCTGCCAGCAGCAGGTTGATCTCTTGCTACTGTAACTTCATGAGGTTCAGGTGAATCTATGATATCCACTTCCTTGTCTTCCTCCTCTGTGTTTTCATCTTTTTCCTCCTCTGCTGGCTTGTCATACTTGCATGCACCCTGAGCCTTCCCTCGTTCCCAGCTGCCAGCAAAAAAAGAAAGGAACTTCTGGGACATGGTGACATAACTCTAACGATGCATGCATAGCCCGTCATTGTGTCTGTCCGACTTCTTCTTGCATGGCAGCAGCAGAACTAATTAGTCCAGGCTGCTCTGGAGCCGGACAAACCATGCAGAAGAGTGCAGTTAGCTTCCTCCCATTTGGAAGTCTATAAGACAGGCCTCCTACGTGATCTTTCCATGGCAAGGAGAACAGCGCTTTTCCCCACCTCATCACAAATTGTTGCCTATTCGCAGGTACTTGTTGAATATCTTTAATGTCCTGAAGACTGTTTTAACTACAAATGACCCAAATCCTAAGGGACTATAAAACTTACAGAGGCATTAGGTGGGTGACCAGCGATAATGAGAGGGAACTGGCACCTGTTATAGTTTATCCAGAAGAAAGGGATGATGCTGCTATCTCTGACATGCAATCATGCCCAGATGCAGTGCATCTGCACGGAAACCGCTTCACAAAGTTGGACCATGGAAGGACCAACAATCCCAGTCTGTGCTGCCATCCAGTTTTTCCATTAAAACACAAGTCCAGAATAAGGTCCAAACAGAGGTGAGGTATCTACCATTTATACTTTTAGTCCTGAGCTTAAACTTGATGCTAGAGGTAGCTGGTTGCCTTACGGAGCTACATCAGGCAATTGCACTGCAGTGCAGCACCATGTGCAGGCTGCTGCCTCCTTAGAAGCACCAGGAGGGATTAGGGATGTGTTTCTCAATAGCAGAAATCACCCATTGCAAATATAGCACCTTAATCTAAGGCTCAGAGTCGCATGGACTTAATCTACCTTAAATCCCTGGGTACCTTTTGCAGACTACCACCCTCCCAAGTTTTTCCTCATCCCATAGATAAATCTGAAACCTACACTTGATCTCATCCTTTTGTCATTTTTGTTGGGGGGACCATGGGATATTGACATTTCTCATGATGATTTTGGAGGTCCACGTATAAATCGTGCTGAAAGCTAGGAAGGTACTCGCTCTGTGATTGTTAGGACGTACCTGCAGGTATCAACATGCAGCTCAATGTTGGTGTTTTCCAGCTCTATCAGGCTGCGACGCACCTCCATTTGCTCGCTGAAAGCCCCCATCAGCTGCGCCCGCAAGGTGTTCATTACTTGGCCACTGTGTACCTCAGACCCTTGGTGCCCCTCTGCTGCAGAAGACGACATTTCTGATCTGACGTTAGGCCAGGTAAACTTCTGCCAAGTCTCCACAAAACTACTCTGGGACAAAGCCACTCAGTCCACATATTACAAGGCGTTCATTTATAGGACTCTGCTTCATTCTGCAGTCTCTTGAAGTTAATCCTGTGCTTAAAAAAATCAGATATACCTTTATGATTGTATTATTAGCAATAAATAGGTCTCATTGCTACTGCTTTTGTGAGTATTAAGAGGCTACTGCATTGCAGGGACATTTCTTCCACCTTTCCACCCGCCAAAAAGAAAAAGGTATCCGTTTTCTGTGCTTGTTACCTAGGAATGACCTTGGGTATTGGTAGCAGAGGCCTATTATACCTTGTGCCTTGTCTGTCAGAGAACTTGATGTTTTTTATTTCGTTCCTTGCCAAATTCACTGATAAAAGGAACAATCCGCAGGGCAGAACAATCAGTGTTTTAAAAGTTTCGCCCTGCCCCCCTCCCCTTTTTTTTTTTTTTTTCAAGCTTGCCCCTCGCCCCCCTCCCTTTTTTTTTTTTTTTTAATTAAGCGCAACAAACCATACAACAGAGCTCCGTGTCCTGACACAGCCTCGGAGCCCACAGTGACGCAGGCTACAAACTCGCTCACCTCTCTGTGAGAGTCAGGACTTCCCACAGCAAATGCCACCACTTGATGTCAAAGCTCTTTTCAAGGGCAGGTTTGTAAAATTTAACACATTTTAATGTTGGGGAAGATGCTGAGAAGGTTGAATGTGTTGTCCAGAGTCACACAGTACATCAGACAGGCTCACACAGAGGAAACAACATCAACTCCCCTGCCTGCCTCCACTGCCCATCAGACTGTGTTCTCCGCTGCTTCTCTACAAGCATTGCTGAACCGGCTTCCCCCAGCTACCTCTGCATGGAGGCCCACCAAGCACTACCACGACCTGTCCACACAGCTCCTCTCCCCGTTCTCTTCCCTCCAGTTACCCCAGAACAGTTCTTGCTCCTGGCTCTACCTTGCAGATCCCCGAGGTTGGAGCTGACTGCACTTTTCTCCTTCTCCTGGTTTTTGACCCTCGCCTTCAGATGCTCGATCTCCCTGTGGAGGTCCGCGATGATGCTGGTGTATTGGTTGATGTGGCAGGAGACGTTCCGCAGGTTACATTTTACCTGGTGAGCCAGAATACGTGAGCATTTGTCCCACAGTCCATTATTGGTACAATGGCTGCAAACAAAGCTATGCTTTCAGTTGGAGGGGCACTGAATCCTGTGATGGGGAAGAATTTTCCCTCATGAGTGGGGAAGCTGTAAATTAGTGGTTTTCCCTAATTCTGGGAAATTCCCAAAAGGTAACAGAGAAAAGCCAGGGAGCCTGTGTCCACAGGGAAAACGCAGAGATCCACAAAGAGTGAAAACCCTGTTGTAGATTATTGTTCATCTTCCTTCACCCCACAAGCCTCTCCATTTTATTCCTTCTTTCTGCAACCCCTCAGTTCCTCTTCCAGGCCCAGCATCTGCACTGGGACATTCCCCATACATTGTCCTCCCAACAGTCATCTTCCGACCATCATTGCTTATGTTCTGCACCCAGGTCCATACCAGGCACACCATCCTCTGCCTTTCTATTATTCTGCTCCCTTGTTTTGACCCTCATATTCCTCTTCTCATCCACGAGCCACACGATTTGCTTTCCACTGTTCCCTTCATCTGCTTTTCTTCTACCCCTCACACTGAGGCTCTACACCATCCTGCACTGCGCCCTCCAGGAGTTTGTTCTCCCTTCATCCACTACATCTTCTATTTCCACTTTGCAAGTTTTTAATCTCTAACCCCCACCTCCTTGTGAGTTGTTTGCTCATTTACCTGTGTCTTGTGTGATGCTCGATAGGCATAGATCAAGGTCATTCGAGATTCTTCAAAGGAGGTACTGACTGGGCTGATATGTGCAATCATAAGAGTTCTGCTGTTGCCCCGTAATGAGTCCTAGAGGAATGCAACGTTGATGTGGTTAGCATGGACATGACAGGGGCTTGCTGCTCGGTGGTAACCACCATGGCTGGGTACCCCTGCGGTTCATTGAGATTCTGGTGGAGAATCCCAATTAGGAGTGAAGGAGGTGCTGGTAGAAGACCATTCATTAGGCCCTCTCTCCATCAACAGCAAAATCAATAAGTAATTAACTTTCTACAGAAGAAGAATTTTTGCAAGAAAATTGCAATTTCCACAAATACACTGGCAGCTTCTCAATGCTGCTCACAACAGAAGCCTGCCTTTTTCTCCATCCCTTCTCCTCCCCACCATCCTCTAGAAAACACGTCTGTCAGGCAGCGACAGCGGTAGCTCAGCACCAAGGCTTGAGGCGAGGTTCATAAATGAATTTGTAAAGGATCCATAAAATAACCAGTGTAGCAAAGAGCCTGTCTGCAACCTTCCTGATTTCCTAAGGGAGAGACGACTTATGACAGCACATAATCACTCTCAGTCTCTCTTCCTCCTGCCCCAACAACATCCAAATTTATTGGCCAATTTCAGCCAAATCTTATAGAAGGGATGAAACATTCACAAGCAGTAAGTTCATTAAAAAAGAAAAAAAAAAAACACACTTATCTGCGAGCTTAGAGACATACAACTCAAATCTGTAGGATTTCCTTAACCCTGTAGGGTCTTTCCTCTTAACAGCGCAGATAAGACAACATGTTTATTATAGAGACAGCACTGTCCAAGTCAAGCCCTGATTGCATTGCAAAGCTCATGCAAGATCCTGGAGGAGCGTTGCAAGCTGGATAAAGACAATGCACGTAGATATTCAAGGATCAGCTCTCAAGCCCTGTCTGATTTGAGCGGTGATACCAGCAACAGACACACCAAGCTCCTTGCTGACCCGCAGTGTTGTCGTGGTCCTCCCCACCATCCTCTAGAAAACACGTCTGTCAGGCAGCGACAGCGGTAGCTCAGCACCAAGGCTTGAGGCGAGGTTCATAAATGAATTTGTAAAGGATCCATAAAATAACCAGTGTAGCAAAGAGCCTGTCTGCAACCTTCCTGATTTCCTAAGGGAGAGACGACTTATGACAGCACATAATCACTCTCAGTCTCTCTTCCTCCTGCCCCAACAACATCCAAATTTATTGGCCAATTTCAGCCAAATCTTATAGAAGGGATGAAACATTCACAAGCAGTAAGTTCATTAAAAAAGAAAAAAAAAAAAATCACTTATCTGCGAGCTTAGAGACATACAACTCAAATCTGTAGGATTTCCTTAACCCTGTAGGAGGTCTTTCCTTAACAGCGCAGATAAGACAACATGTTTATTATAGAGACAGCACTGTCCAAGTCAAGCCCTGATTGCATTGCAAAGCTCATGCAAGATCCTGGAGGAGCGTTGCAAGCTGGATAAAGACAATGCACGTAGATATTCAAGGATCAGCTCTCAAGCCCTGTCTGATTTGAGCGGTGATACCAGCAACAGACACACCAAGCTCCTTGCTGACCCGCAGTGTTGTCGTGGTTTAACCTCAGTAGTAGAATGTCCCTTTGGCCAGTTGTCCTTGCGGCCCCTCCCAGCTTTTTGTGCACCTCCAGCCTTCTCAGCCGGTAGAGCATGGAAAACTAAAAAGTCTTGGCTAGTAACTAAAACATCGGTGTGTTATCAACTTTGTTCTCACCCTAAATCCAAAACACAGCACTGTACCAGCTACTAGGAAGGAAATTAACTCTATCCCTGCCGAAACCAGGACAAGTGTACAGTACCTTCAGCAGGCGTGTGAGTTTGCTGTCTCGAAAATTGACAAACTGGGCCTGGCTCCCCCCCTTCTCACTCAAGGCGTTGATGCAGTTGCCCAAAGCCAGCAGTTGATGTGGGCTCCTTCCTTCATCCTCTTGCCCTGGTTCTGAGTATGTTGGGAGAGGAGGGAGGGAGGGGGGACAGACAGACAAAGCACATGCAGGTGGGTCTGTGTCTGGGGAAGACGTGTGGCATCATCAGGGTCAAGGTTTGGATGTCAAAGCAATGCCTCCTGCAAAATCAACCTGAAAGTGCAGGGTTAAACCCCACTCTGAGGCACTGAGGTGCTGGTAGGAATACATTTCTTGGAAAAGATGAGCCCTCTCTTAATTAATAGCTATCTGTTAAGAACCATCTTCTAAAGATTATTTCAGAAGTTAAGTTGCATAACTACATCACTCCAGAATTCCTGGTCTCAGCAGAAATACTGGGTATGTAAAATTTCTCTCCCTCAGATCACCTCCCTGAGTTCCAGCATTTCCTCCCTCCCATAGGAGCCAGCTGCCTTATTTTCCACCCACCAGCATCCCTCTATTCCACTGGTACCAGCTTTCTCTGACAGCCCAGCCGATCCCTGCCTAACAGACCTCAGCTTCTCTTTAGATGTGAAATTCGCTGCTGCTTTTCAGACCTGAGAAAAGGCTGCACCCAAAAGCTGGTTTACATTTTTCCAGTTATACTAGTTGGTCTAATAAAAGATATTACCAATATCCTCCAACTTTGTCTCTACTTTCAGGTTGTCTCAGGTACAAACTCCTGCTCTAAAGCAACAGAGGAACACACAGCGCTGGTTTCCCCAGGGATGAGGACAGGCATGCAGACCCTGCACAGCAGGCCAGGGAATCCAGCCTGGTCTCACCAAAAGCTGCCGAGCTCCAGCCGTACCTGGGCTGCTCTCTCCAACCCCGCCAAGTCAACCATGAAAAGCTTTCCAATTCGCACTTCCTTGCCGATCGCCTTCCTTCGGCTTTTCTGCGTCACTGTCACCTGCAGCACTGCATGTGAGCGGGAGGATGTCCTGTTGGCAGCAGTGGGCTCCTGGGTGTGTTGCTTGTTTCCTTTCATTAACAGCTGCATGATCTAAACGATGCAGAAAAGCACGCAGAGATGTACAGCTCTGCCTGAGCCATAGCATGGCGTTCCCCGCAGACTGGACCCCTCACCCAGGGCACAGGCAAACTCTGGTCCCGCTCATGCTAACAGGGGTTTTGCTGTTGATTTTCCCCAGATCTTCCCCTTTGGCTTGTGACCTTTGAAGTGCAGGTTTGTGACCTTGGAAGTGCAGGTTTGTTGGTTTTGGGGCTGTTTTCCTGGGAGGCCTGTTTATTTCATGTCCAAGGCACATGTAGAAGTACACATCAGTGTAGCTCAAGGGGGTTTCGGTATTTCTTTTCCCTCTCCAAATGGTTTGACGACACGTGTACACAAATCAAAGCACTCTTGTCCTTCCAGGAAAGCAGCATGCACCCTGGGGAAGCAGAGCTAGCAGGAGGTTAGCTGGAGATTTTAGCCTAGTTGCTACCACTCACGTGGCTCCATCATCAGCCCTTTCCATACAATTCATCACATTAATCCAGTTCCACCAAGGTCGTGTTACAAAAGCTCCTTGCTACTGAGTAAGGCAGAGGCAATAGGAAAGTGTCAAGAAATTTTAAAGCACTGATGCATGAAAGCACAAACCCCCTCCCTTTCCCCTCACCGTGGACCATAGCTCAAGGTACCTCCTGAGCATTTGTAGTGGAGACTTCCGTAATTCCTGCTATCTGGATGCTGCCTCTGGGGTCCTCTCTCAGGTCTAAGAGCCCTGAGGATGGGTTCAGGAGGTCACGGATCACTTTGTTAGAGATCTGAGGGTAAGAAATGAGGGGTTGGTGTGAGACTAGTATTGGGTCCTTAGATCTTCAAAGAGGGTTGAGTTGATCCTGTATTTCTTTGGGGGGAAGGGAAGAAGGGAAGATCTGAACTGCACAACCCAAGGGGAGTGCCGCACGATGGACAGACTTGGACACCCCACTTCCCATTACGCCTGCTCCCAGGGACTTGCTGAATTCCCACAGGGCCTGGATCCAGGGCAACAGGCCATCTCCATCTCCTGAGACACTTCACCTCCAGGTAGGACATGGAGACTCTGTAATCCATCTCCTCAGCGGTACCTTCAAGGGCCTTAAAGAGGGCATCAAGAGTGCGAATGTAAATCCCCGGTTCACAGTCCGTCCCTAGCATAGTGTAGGTTTTTCCTGCTCCCGTTAAAGATACAAAGAAGAGCAGCAAAGACCAACTTCCACATGAGCAAGTTTCCACAACAAATAAAGCCTGGTTTCCTACTGATTTCTGTCCTTCACCCTCTAACTTCCTCCAGTTACTCCATTTTCTCACCCCACAACGACACTGCTGCAGGAAAGACATGGCATGTGCCATTCAAAATGGGTAGGAAGAAGACTTGCAGATGGGCAGATAGGTAGGTTAACTGCCCACCTATGTGTTCAGAGCTAGGGTAAAGTGTATTTTCATACAGTCTGTAGTCTATAGCTGCTTTCTACAGCTGCATCTATTCTCCTGAGATCAGTCTCCAGCATTGCACAGATGCCTTAATCTCATTCTCCTCTTAACGGGAAGATTTGTCTCCACTGAATTCCACCCCAATTAAGTGACTTCTCAAACAGGGCAGCTTTGCTGTTACTTTAGCATTAAAGGAAGATCCACACTTCCCAATGAAAATGGTATTTTAATGCTTCAGTCTTGTCCTCACAGTAAGCAATTAATTGGCATTATAGTTCATTTCTGGTTCGTACAGATACATTTTATTCATCTGGAGCAGTACAGCTACAGGGACTACTTTACCTGTCGGACCGTATGCAAAAATGGTTGCATTGTAGCCAGAAATGACTCCTCCTATCAGGCTTTTGGTCGTGGACACATATACTTCCTCCTAATTCAGCCAAAAAAGCATAAACTTATGGTCAGGCATAACAGCTGTCCAGACAATCTATACTTAATTGCATTCCCCATGATTTTCTCACTATGTTTTACAAATTTCCTGGGCGTTGGAACAATTTGTGAACCATTTGAATTTTGACACATCATCAAAATGAGCAAAAAACCACAGAGGTTTATTGAATTTTCTAAAGGCAGGCAAGATGCAGGAGCTTACTAAAATAAATGTCCTTAAATTTGATTATTTTCTTGGACTCTGAACATGGAATGCTTTGTTTTTTCTTTGTGTCTGCTGAAGAAGAGAGTAAATTCTCTCCCTAACCTTATCCTTTATTGAGAGGTGCCACTGGGCCTCCAAAAATGTCTTAGGCAGTATAAGGGCACTACACTGAAGTTTCATGTGAAAGAGAACACAGGTGACTGAATTGCTTGTGAGAAGCAAGGCTGCAGTCACATCACGGTGATCACAAAATGCAGGTGCTGATGAAATCCTCGTACTGCACCTTACATCTGTCTCCAAAACACGGCTCAGTAAGGGCACCAGAGCTCACTTCATGAGCTTAAAACAAAAGAGGCACAGGGAAGAAGTGTGTGAGCAAGAGAGCCAAGTAATGTGACAATGATCTCATTCACCAGAGACCTTGGGAAACAAAGCTCTTCATCTCTGCTCAGGTGTATTGCATCTGGGGAGTCCCGATGCGGGAGGGAGAGGCAGGCTGAATACTTCACATCTCCCCGCTTCTCTGACAAAAGGAAAACCCTCAGAGTCCTCTCACCTTCAGCACCATCACCTTTTTTCTGGGTGACATGTGGCCTCTGGGATGTGCCGTTCTAGTCACCTGCCAAAACCATTCATCTAAGCAGGGAAAACAGTTCTAACGTTAAGCCTTTTGGTTAAAAAAAAAGGGAAGGATATTACCTGGGTTGCTCTGTGATCAAAACCCATGTCAAATACAAATGTTTTTTCTCGGGATCTGTTAGCTCGCAAGATGTCATCTGGATCTTCACTTGGATCCATCAGGACCACCCTCTGTTATAAAATAAAGTCAGAAGAAAAACCATTATGTCTGGGTTTGGTTAACAGCCTGTTGGGATTTCTTACCGCACTATCACCATCGCAACTCTTGGCCAAAGGAACATTGCGCTACAGCTTTGTGTGGAAAACACACTTATATGCACAATGCGGAGGCCAACAAGCTTTGTTTCGTAACCGATGTCGCAACTTCTGTAATTTGGAGAACGAGCAGCTGCTGCAAAATGCTTTGAAGGTCCATTGTGCAGTGAAACCGTCGCTGACATTGGGTAATAGCGGTGGTTGCAGGGACTTGACACCCGACCAACTCCCATGCAAGCAGGAGGGGGACAGGATCTCTTACCTCAATTTTCAGCCAAGATTCAGACAGAGGAGCTGTGAAAGAAAATAGTTAAGTTCCTCGGGAGCAAAAGTGCCCAAAGTCATCTTCCAAAGCCTTTCCTGCCGAAGGACTGATAGAAATATCCGCATTGCTCAAGGACAGAAGTTTCATTCCATTTCTGGCTTTTATTAAGGAAAAAACAAAGGTGGGAGAGGAGTTGCAGCAGGTTACAGAACTGGTTCTGGTTTTTTTCAGTCCCTTAGGATCTATTTTAGTACATAATTATCACAGTATATAATTATTGTGGAGAATTGTATTCTTTCTCCTCCACTGAAACGACTCATAGGGAGATGCTCAAGCTTCAAGGGAAGGGACAGAGAACCCTGTGCCTCCTACTCCAGAGCGGCTTTCACTCTCTCTCAGGTAAACAGATCATTAGATAAGCAATTAGAGCATAGATCAACCACCACTTGACCTACGGAATAACTGCATTGGCGTGCCAGGCATGGGAGAGAGACAAGTATCTAGGACAAGTGCCCGTGGGCATTCAGAAAATGTCAAGACTTTGGTTTTTCTTCTTCTTTTGCATTTCCTGCTAAATTCCAAGTCTCTAACAAGTATCTCTAGTTTTGATCCATAAGTTTTCAATTACCAGAATGACTTTTTTTTTAATTCTTTCGTTTTCACTGGTCCAGCTCAGGCCTTAAAACCTGAAGCAACACAAGAACAAACTCCAAAGGCAACTCCTGGTTTATCCTCAGCGGCGGCATTTGCCTGCAAAGATGGGCTGACACGTAATCATGTGCACATGCAAGTGTGACAGCCAAGAGCAGAGCTTGGAGAATGAGGTCAGCATGTTTCCTTTAGAAATTCTGTCTGTAACACCTTCAGGCCCCTTTTACTGAGTCCTTGTAACATCCAAATTTTGCTTGCAGAGTCCTTCTTCTGCTATTGCACGGAAGCATTAAAACATAACAAGACACTAACAGAGTCAATTTTGAGTTAGGATTAATAAGCAGACAGAAGCAGCTCTAAATGAGTTAGGCCGGGAGTAAAAATAGCAGGGAACATTATGTAAATCAAAATACACCAAGAAATCTAAGTACTTCAACTGCCCAGTCAATTAATTTGCTTTCGTAATTACAGTTATTTGCATCATTAAGAGAAACTCATTCTCACAGATAGCAGTTACTCAGACTAATGCAATGCACATTTCCTTCCCAGATTTCCATTAGGGAAAATAGATCTCAGGGCAGATGATGCAAGTCTGAATAAGTTGTATAAAAATAAAGCTCATATCCTTGTGAGGTTAATGGCTGCTTTAAAAAAAGAAAAGAAAAAAAAAAGATGTTTCACCAGTAAGATGCTAAACAAAAATTGCATTTCTAAGATAATCCATAAAGAGGAAAGAGATTCATGCTCTCTTTGCTTCTGAGGGCTGCTATCGTTTGACTATTGCGTGGAGACAAGAGACAAGATATATTACAGAATCAGCGTGCATTCAGAAAGGGTTCAGAGAAAGACCAGCTGAAGCACGATAGAAAATAATGGGATTTACATATGAAAAGAAGGTAAATAACAAGGACACAATAAAAATATGTAAATAGATGTAGCAATGTAGAAAAGGTGAGTGGGAACCTTTTGCAATCCCTGCCTCTTAAAGAGAGGAGCAAGAGGTGAAAGATGCAGAACTGGAGAAAAGAAGTGCCATTTGCACGGGAAGCTGTGTCCCTGCTGTGTCACAGCAAGGGATTTGAAAGCAAGTGTGTGCATGTGAACCAGAAGAGCCGGAGTCTCGTGGCGGTCCGCGTGGTACCCAGCAGACTCCCCGCTCCCCATCATGGGGGCTCTCCTGCAGCCCACGCGCAATGCCCCCCCAGCTCACCTGCTCACCCACCCTGCGGGCAACGAGGGCAGCTCCCTCCTCCACTTCTGCTTCGTTGATGGGACGGATGCGAAGGGCCACCTGCACACACAGCAGACACACGTGGCTTACGTGTGCTGAGGCCACCCAGACTTGCCTGCAACAGGGCTCAGCTCTGTGCAAGCACCAGCACTACCTACAGCTTCTCGCTGCATCTCTTCTGCTGATCAATCTTAAAACCTCAAGCTTAGGGCCTGGAGAGTTTAAGGAAGTTTCTAAAGTTTAAACCAGTTAATTCTCCCATGATTTGCACTTTTATTTTGACAAATTCTTCCTCCCTCTTCCCCTGTTTCTAACACAGCAAGACTCCAACTGATTGACAGAGAAGGCGGCAGAATGAAGTCAGCCGTGTCATTGCTGCTGCCAGCGGGAACCTTTGGAGATCTGGGACCGTGGTACCGACAGCCATAGAGCTGAGCAGGCTTACAGATTCCCCCGGTGTTCCCAAAACACTGATTAAAGTTATCCGTGACAAAGAAAGGGAATTGCATTTCACTAAGTACCCATTTCGTTTAATCCCAGGTAGCAATCATTATGAGCCTGTACAACCAGATCGGAGCAAGTTGGCCCTGATCTGTGCAGGTCCCGCGGGGTTCCTCAAAAGCTGGAATTCATCGCAGGACTGGAGCAATTATAAAGTAGCAAGTAACTGCCAGTGCCTTGCGCCACAACTCAATCAGTCAGAAACACGGCACTCCATTTTGAAACACAGATGATAATTTGACTCGAAGATTTAAAACACACTGGCTGTATTTGTCAGTATTAATAGTATACAAGAGCACATATATTTCAGCCTGTTTAACCTATAGGTGAAGCAATAGAGAAAATGTGGTGTCATGGATTGGCTGGGGGGTTAATCGGGCCCCCTGAAGCTGGGGTCCTGCTCTGGCCCTGACTCACTTTGCAGCTGTGCTGTGAGTTGCACAATCCCAAACCTGTGTGCCTCGTGGAGGGTCTATTCAAAATCCCACCTAAAAGCTGTCCTTGGGGTCTCAGCTAATAAGAGACATTTGAAAAATTCTATTTTCACCTTTCCATAGCTATTTTCCCTTTCAAAAATTACAGCAGCATCCCCTTAGCAGCTCCTGACAGGAGAGCTGATGCTGGTAAAACACTGCATAATGCACATAAATGATGCCTCATCAGGAGGGTGTGCAATTATTGAAACAGACTTGTTCTACGGCCCCACCAGTCACAAGTAACTAGTTTCTATAGGAACCAGATTTATTTCCACAATAACAAGCCAAACTACCTGTCAATTTAACAAGTGTTTCATGAATAGCTCCCAGTCTCGAGCACTCTAGTAGACATTTTTGAGTAGTTCCAGCAACAGCAAGGGAACATTTCTTCACTGTGAATATCTCCGAGTATAAGGTGAGCTCCTTGGCTTTGGAGAGCTTTTAATATTCACAAGAATGCAACAATTAACTTAGCTTCATCATCTCCGTATATACGTCTGAGTGACACCGTTAATGAGCATCTCATTCCCATGGGCTGAACTCATCTTAGAAGCATTTGAAAATATTATCTTGCACACCATGATCCAAAGTCCTGCAAGGAGGAGCAGGGGATAGCGCAAGTCTCTCTTGGACAGCCTTAAACCTCCAGAATAGTCCAGTTAATCACTGTGTTTGGTAGCCCTAGCCACAGAGGGTAAGAAAACAAACCCAAATAAGCAGCATGTGGAGACGGGTCACACCAAGTACTAAGGCTTTTTCTTGCATTAGAGAGGAATGCAAGGTATTCTAGATATTATTGACTTTATTTTAAGTGATTCCACTTTGAGCAGAGGTTTCTGTGTCTGCCTCAGTCGTGTTTCAGCACAACGTGAGAGCAATGCTTCAGTTAACAGAGAGCCACAGGGTTGAAGGTTGAAACTTGGGAGAGGATTACATTTTCAAAGCACTCTTACTCTGTTCAACACAGAGATGCTGAGGTCCTGGAGCAATGGTGCTGACTCAGACAGGACTATAATCCCAGCTGCTTTTAGCTGCTTATTATGAATCTGTCACTCTAACAGATCCCAAAGAGACAGGCACACTGAAAATCACTGTTCAAGGACTAACTACCACCTGCCAGGTTACCCAGCCTCACCTCCCCTACTATACATTTTTGTCCTCTGCAGGATACTTATACCCAACTTTGGCTTTAAATCACACAGACCTTTGCACAAAGAGAGCAAGTCTGGGTTTTTTCCTCTGGCTGGGCCAGAGAGGTCAGGAACACCAGAAGACAGCTGGCAAACATGATAGGAAGGATGTCGGGGCTGGGTACAACCCAGCTGCTCCTCCCCATCCCATGTCCTCCCCTAAGCAAGTGGACTCACTGTAAGCTGCTGCTCCTTCATGGCCAAGCTGCAAGATGACGCCAGCTGAGGGCCGAGTGATTTGCCCACGGAGGTGCACATCGAGTTGGGAGTCCTTCAGGAGACTGCACAGGCAGGAGACTGAACAGTTCAGAGGCAGCAGCAGCAATCACCCCAGGGAAGGAAAAGAGGCAACACCTGCGCTCCCCCAGGTGGGAGATGACTGCAGGGACAGCAGGAGAGGCAACAGTGAAACGCTGAGCCCCAGGGCAGGAAGGGGCTGCAGCAGCTCCCTGCTAGCCCAGGCTGCAGGAAGCAGTGTGCCACCACTGCACCTTGCATGGGACATGGTGAAAGGGGTCGGGATAAGCAGAGTGACCCACCTGCAAGCCCAGACTAGTTCTTTACATGCAAATCCATCTGCACACGCTCTTGGCAAGCAGGCCACAGCCTTCATTTTCTGCCCTCTAGGATGCCAGATTTCTCCTTCCCCTAAGATCAAACATGCAGCACAACCAGGTACAGGGGACCACAGCTTCACCAAAAGCTGAGCACCCTGGCCCCTCCAGTCTCGCACAAGAAATGACAACAGCCATCGAGACAGTCAGGGAACAGTTTACAACCTCCCCGAGTTAAGTGCAAACTTCCATTGTATTGTCACTTCATGCACAGTGGCATTTCGTGACTCCTACGTTCAGGAAGGCAATCCTTCAGCATTTTTAGTGTCAGTACATTCATTACAATAACCTATTAAAAAAAACCACAAGACCACCTTTTGTCTTCATTATTTATTGACAGTAAACGAGTCAAAGCTCATAAAAGTTACAGTAAGGCTTTATTAAAAAATATTAGAATTTAAGGAGTTAAAACAGCATAGCAAGTGAATAAAACTTGCTCTATGAAGTTTGCATTAAGGACTGTAGATGGTTAAAAGGTCATGAGAATGTTTATTTATTACAAATTCAAAATAAAGACTGTGAAAGTGAAGATTAGCCCAGGATTATATGAATTGTTCCAGTTAATCTTGCTATTTAAGAACAATAATTAAAAATAGTTAAGACAATACTTCAAACACAATGAGAGATATTATCCTACTTAATGCTTAAGGTTTGCTTCCCTCCCTGCCCAAATTCTGGACCCTTGAAGGCATTCAGTGGAGGTACAACTGCTGTTGGAAGCCTTTTTCCCCACCCATACATATTTCTGTACAGTACCTACAAACCTGCTTCTGTTTTGACCATCCTTCAGAAGCCCCTACAAGGGCCACAGGCTGAAAACCAGTAGCATAGGGTACTTGAAGCTACAAACCAACATGGATTCAATCCAACAAGATCCTTCCTCCCTACTACAGCTCCTTGTGTTATTCCAAGATATGCCAAACAGACTAGTTTACCAAATACATAGCCATAAAGCAATTCCAGCAGCACATAAAAAGCATTTGAAGTAAGAAACATTACAGAAAAGACACAGTAATTGAAGGGAGCAGTGTCAGAAATGCCAGCTAACAGAAGAGAACAGGCCTTAACTGCTGGTCAGAACAACATCTTGTCAGCTTCCAAAGCTCCTACAGGAGCATCAAGTTTTGGGTGGGGTCCCATCCCCCCCCCCCGATGATCCACAGTTCAGAGAAGCATCTTAGAAGAGAACTTAATACATTTAACATTGGCATTACATTTCTTTACTTTGAAAATGGCCAGGAATAAAACACAGTAGCCTATTAAAACTTCATTACACATACACAGGGGAAAAAAACCTTTCAACTCAATTTGTAACTTAGAAAATGGCTGAGGAGTCACCTCTTCACAACTAAAGGGTAATCAAAATGATTCCTGCTATAGAAGTTCAAGCCATTACTGGAGAACTTTGATGTGCTAGAAGTTCTTCTAGACTGGTTCGCTATAAATTAAATATTTTTTTCCAGTCCAGTTGAGAGATGAGCTTGGTAAATATTGTGGACAAAACTTTAATCATCTATATATCTGTATATATGGATTATGAATGAACAAATGCAGAAAACTGGAAACTAATATAGACCTCTGGAAAAAAAAACCCTGCTGCTTTAAGAGTGAACTATTGAAACCAAGTCAATACCATCATTATGGAACAATGATTTTGAAGAGTCTTCCTGGTGAAAAGAACATGGGAGTTAATTGAAGGATTCGTGCATTTGCTATCACAGCAAGTTCACCTAAGGACAAAAAAAAGTGAGTGCTAAATGTGTTACTGTCCCTTGGCTGCGTCCAGCCGAGTGGGGCTGCCCTTTGCCCAAAGGGTACTTTCTGCTTTCCACTTCAGATCTGTCAGACAGTGCTATGCAAGTGAGCTCCGGGTTTAAAAAGAGCCAGTCAAGAGGGCTCACATTAGCAATTTCGCTAGCCAGTCCAGGAGAGGAGATGGGACCATCCTCATTCTCCTCTGCCCCTCCAAGGGCAAGCAGCAGGCCAATCTCCCTCCCTGCTCTGACAATATCCAGAAAAGAATTTCTACTCATAAATACAAATACAGAGAAGTTGCTCCACTGGCTTTAAGCACACTTTTCCCCTCCGAGCACAGAGGGCTTTAGAAACGAAACTAGGTACTGTAACATGGACACAGAGCACTTCTCTGAAAGTTTGCAATGTTCACTAATAAGACTTAATTCAGTAATTCCTGAGGCTCGTATCAGTTTGCAAATGGTTTAAGAAATCCACTCAGTTTCTAGTCACTCCACTATAGTGAACAGGTCAACTTGTCAGATTAATGAGCCATGCCATCACTGTAAAAAACAAACAAACCACAACGCAAAACCAAAAGAGCCATGAGGAACTGAGATTAAAAAAAATCCAAAGGAACCATATAGTCAATATAGCAAACACACTCCTACTACTGTGGATATGTTTGACTTTCATAATTCAGGAAAAGATTCCCTACAAACAACGCGTAGCCAGCCTGGTTTTAGTATAGGTCTGCTTTTATTTCCATATTCAGCTCTTTGAGGGAGACATCCTTTCACAATCTGAAAGGAGGAGGATATAGCCCACTGTAGTGCTGCTTCAGCACACTAAAACACATCATATGAAAAATGGTTCTGTTGACTTTTCCCCAAACAAAATGAACACCTGTCCATGCACTCGGGACATAGAAAGAGTCCTGAAACAGAAACATCGTGCGTGTGTGTAAGACAGAGGCTGATGAATCTCACCTCACTGGCAATAGTCAAAAACTGCCAGTTGCTAAGTACTGCACGGGAGTCAGGAAGTAAATACTGGTAGTAGTGGATTTAAAAAGAAAAAAAAAAAAACAAACAAAAAAACAAACCCTAAAAAAAGAATAAAAATTTAAAAGCAGCGCCTTTCCAGTATCTCACTGCAGCAGGCAGCAAGACTTAAAGGCACTACAATGTGTCAGAATGGAGAAAATCTGGTGCATCCACCCTTCCAGAGTGCAAGAATATGGATTAAAAATTCCGAAGTTGATGTAGGCTTTCTGAAAATGAGCAAACTTCTTTTCAGCACAAGATATGGTGGTGCTGCAGAAAAGGAAAAAAGAGGTGAGTTAGTTACTCTGCTTTTATACAAACAGCTCAACCTCACCACAGATGCTAGCTGGTGAAAGGCTACATAAGCATGTGTTTCACCTGTTCTTAAACTGATGTTTGTTTAAATCCATACACTAAGCAGCTTCTCCCCCTCTTCCTTCCATAAAAGGATCTCCCATGTACGGGACACAGATAAGCTAGATCCAAATATATTCAAAGGTATCAAGGCTATTAATTTTTCTACAGGTCCAAGAGGTATACTGCTCACATTTTCATAGATTCATAGAATGGTTTGCATTGGAGGGACCTTAAAGATCATCTAGCCCACCCCCCCTGCCATGGGCAGGGACACCTTCCACTAGACCAGGTTGCTCAAAGCCCCATCCAACCCGGCCTTGAACACTTCCAGGGAGGGGATATCCACAACCTCTCTAGGCAACCTGTTCCAGTGCCT